GCCAGTCTTTGTAAACCTCCATTCGTTTATTTAATTGATTGTTTATTGCCAATTTAATAAGATCCCAATTATCTTCATTCTCTCTGAAAGCAAAAGCAAGTACGCGAAACCTACAATTACTATCATTTAGTGAATTGTATATCTGGTCTATATCATCAGCGGGAATGCGATTACTTAATAAAATCTTTGAGCTTTGATCTATAAAAATACAAATTATTAATTAGTTTATTTATTTATTTTTTATTTATTTTTATTTATTTATTTTTATTTATTTATTTTTTTTATATTTACCTTCGATTTGAAGTACCAAAATACATTCCGAAAAACTGATGGTTTTGACTATTTTTTTTTCAGAATTCTCAGATTTTTTCTTTGTGAAGAAATTCTGCTTTTAATTTTACGATTTCCATTATTAATTTTCTTTTTTTTCTTTTCCTCTTATTTCATATGCTTTAATGCAGTCGGCAATCTTTTGGTCCCAGGAGGATGAGTTTTCCTATAATGTTTTCTGAAACTTTTATATCAGAAGGTTTAACTCCTGAGACTGTTAAAATGTCATCAAGTTTGTTCAAAAAAGCAGACTTTTGCTGTTTATCCAAAAGGCTCATATATTGTGATTCAATCGTATAAAGCTTAGACTTAAGCAGAAAAAAATAATCAGAATTACTTAAAGCTATAGTTTGAATTATGTGATTAGAATTTGGCTGGTCTTGATCAGGAAATAGCAACCATCTTTTTGGAATATTCGACAATGTAATAAGACCTTTTTTTAAAAGCAAATGACAACAATGCAAAATATAATTAACATGTAATTTGCATAAGCAAGCCTCATATGTAGTTGTGTGGAGAAGTTCATTTTTAATCTTATTTAGTGCAAATTGAGATATTTTTTCCAAAAGCAGCCCTAATCGATTTTTATCCTTTTATGCTAACAAAGGATCAATGCTGATACTTTCTTTTTCATATTGTAGTGAATCTTCTTCATTATGCAAATGCAACTATCGGTCCAAAGAATTAAAGCTTTCGCTAAACTGCCTGAAGCTTCGATTGTATGCTTCATGGCCGAATACGCACCTTCAACACGTTGTGTAGTCATTGCACCAAAGTGCATGATTTTGCTGGTATAGACACTGATCCATCTCTTCTTAACCTTCATCATTCTACAGAATGTTATTTTAAAAACATAATATGCAATTAAAAATAATTTTTATAAATATTAATTTTCAATCTAAAATTAAAATAAATAAATTCACTTACCTTCCAAGATATTTAATTACTTCGTCTTCATTCGAGCTTGATGCAGCCAAATTTTTATAATCACTAATTGCCAAACTTAAAGCATCACAGTCTTTTAAATTGATAAAACGATCTACTGTTTTAATAATTACATCGAATGAATCATGACAAAATATTTCCTTAAATTTTTCTTAAAATTGTTTAAAATATGCCAAGTATACAAGAGATACTCAGATTTTGGAAAAAATTTCCTTATAGCACTAGTAAGCATGGCATCATTATCTATGACAAATACCAAAGGATAAAGATCAGAAAATATAAGAGAGGTGAGCTGTTTAATAATCCAGATGTATGAATTTTTTGATTCATCAAAAATCCAAGTGCCAGCAATACCAAATGTTTGTAATTTGTTTACACCAAGATTATCAATACCAACAAAATTTACAAATGGCATTTTGTAAATGTTGGTCTTATAAGTAGCATCGATCAGAACTTCTTCGGAAAAACATCTAGCGCTTTTTATTGAATTAACATGACAAAAAAATAAATTTTTAGACAACCATCTATTTTCAATAAATAAATTAAATTATTAATATATAGATAATAAATGTAACAACATAAATTAATAAAAATATTTTCCTCTATGACTTTCACGGCACACTGTATATCCTCTTTCTTCCATGCCGATTATTAGTGCCTCCATTGAAGCATTTTCTTCTAGAAAATTAATTTGTAAACCTAAGTTTGATATTTCCTTTCTAGTTACTGTAGGTTTTCCAACTTCGTTCCTCATGGCTTCATAGATTAAGCTAGGTCTTCCTCCAGCATTCAACATTCGCACAACCATACATCTTCCGTCTCGTGTTAATTGACAATGTTCATAAAAAATTCTTTTATCCTTTACTATGGAATAATTATGTTGTGCCTCATATGCATTCTTGTGTTAGATTCAATCCAACGCACCTCAGATGCTGATTTTCAGGTGACGTACATAACCTGTCGATCATCATCTGAGGTGCGTAAGTTGTAATTTGAGATGTGTCAGTTGTAAACCAACGCAAGTTTAATAAACAAACAAATTTTCAATTGCAATTTCAAATTTACATTTTAATATATAATGGATAAAAATTAATATATACAAGAATAAATTTAATTATAATTAGCATAAATACTTTAATCTTTATTTAAACAAGAACGATCACTATGACACCAACTTGTATATTTCACGTTTGCTTTCCTATATTTGCATCTTTTACTATCACATGGACCCTTACAATTACAAATAGAATTTGATACCATTCCTACACGCTGAAGTTTTGAAGCCTCTTGAACAGATATTTGATCTAACAGAATTTCATCAAGCTCTAATAAGCGGCAGTTCCAAGTGCCTCAAGTTCACCTAAAGAATAGCATATATTGACTACACCAAACTTACAACCTAGTCAGTATTGGCCTTCTTTAGTTTTTCCTAAAATCTTGCAGAGCAAAGTAGGTCGATCAATATTGAATTAATCAATCCTAGAAATACCTATTCTAACAAAGTCACCAATTTGAAAATCAACCCGCTTTCTTTTTTTCAACATTTGCTGTGTCATTTTATTAGTATAATGCTCAAGGTTCAGTGTGTGGCTTCCCATAAAAGCTCATGTCACTCAGAATTTAAATTATTATTAGTTACGTTAGCAAGTATTAAAATTAAAAATTGTATAATTAATAACTATTATGCCTTCTAAAGAACAAATGCAACAAACAAAAAAGACTTGAACAACTTATCATGATTATTGTGTAAAAACTTTGAACGATTATAGGTTTCTGGTAAAAATTCTATACAATCAAGATTATTATTAGACAAAAATACCGGACAACTACCAATGTCATCGGGCGAAGATACTGAGCAACTATTAAAGTTGTTGAACAAAAACACCAAAGGTACTGAACAGTTTTTAGAAGAAGACACAAACAATTAAAATGATTATTGGATAAAGACACTGAATTTTGGGCCAAAGGCACTAGGTAACAACATTATCATTAAATGATTTACTAACTATATAATTAATATTACTATCAGAAATAGTATAATTATCATAGTTGTTGGACGAAGACACTGGATGACTACCCTGGCTATTGGGTAAAGGCACTATATGGCTGTTTTGATTATTGGGTGAAGGAACTAGATAACAGAGTTGTTATTAAATGATACACTGAACGATTAAGATTATTAGAAGAAAGAACAATATAGTTACCAGAGTTACTTGAAGATACTGGTCGATTACATTGGTTATTGAGTGAAAGCATCATATGATTATTTTGATTATTTTAAGAAAGCAAGTTAATAATGTTATTAAATGCCATATTGAACAATTAATATTATAATTAGGCAAAAGAATAGCATAACTACTATAATTTTCAGGTGAAGATAATTGGGATCTTATTAAATTGGCAATAAACAATCAATTAAATAAACGAATGGAGGTTTACAAAGACTGGC